AAAAAAAAAATCTAGGTCAGCTGGGGGGGAAACACCCAGAAGGAAAAGTATCAGTTTATCATACAGTCCTGCCAAATGCTAAAACTTAAAACCATCAGGATCAGTTGCTTGTAGCTGTTAGTGCCCAAAGCAGGCCAGTACCCTCAATATTTTACCTTTAAAAAAAATGGGGGAAAGGAATACTATAATAATAAAATATAAATTAAGTTGGCTAAACTTTTTATTACAACTTTAAGTGAGATTCCATAAGAGCTTAGCAACTGGTTATAGCTTACCAACTATGGAAACGCATCAAGTCTGACTGTAGAAAATCTGGCTTATATATAAAGTTAAGTATTTTGGTGGTTATCAGTCTGTCAATTGATCTAAAATGATCTTGTAACCAGTTTGACATTGTATAAATAAATATTACTTAAAAACAGTTTTAATCAATTCGTTTGTGACATGTTGACTTAAACGTCCAAACCTGTAGAGAACTTTTATAACTTTAGTTGAGTTGAACTGATAACAGTTGCTGGGAAGCAAAATCTCAATGGATTGAGAAAATGCTCCGGAGAATGGCAGTTTTGCAGCTTATTTTATACATTAGAATGAAAGGAGGAGACGTAAGGGTGGGGGATACATGAAATTCATTGGTAGTGAATTTGGGAGGTGGGAGAAAGCAAAGCTGGGATATCCCCGAGATTGGATGGAGAGTAAAACATAGAGACACAGTAGTTCTTTTACTTTGGTGGGTACAGGATAGCTAATAGTTAACATTTACAGCACGTAGAGATGGTATTGGGGGAAACAAGATAACAATGAGGGGTGCTGTGGTCTGTGCTCTGGTGCAGTGGGTGTGCCCTGAGGGGTCTGGAAAAGGAGACATTGGAAGGATATGTTATCTTTGATGCAAAAGGACAATAGACAAGCTCACTTAAAGTAGAGATTGACTTTTGTCAGGGGAGCCCCAGGCCTAGGATGTGACTACCTGCCATAACCTGCCGTTGTTAGTGGGGAATTTTTATGTTCAGACCATCCTCTTAGGAATTTTTATGTTCAGATCATCCTCTGTGGTTACTTTTGGTGTCTTGAGTTTGTAAGGCCTGCCATGCAGGCCTCCCCTGTGCTTGACAGGTTTAGTATGTGGCCCCTTTTTCATGCACATGATTGAGCTACATGATTAATTGCGATTTTGGATATCACTTTGAATATTTAGTGACATTGAAATTTTGGAATTTGTTACTTATGGTAACGGAGGCAAGAAGTTCTGGGCATGTTTTGATACTAGATCCATTGAGATGTCCTAGACCCTGTATCACTCTCTGTATTCCCATAGTGTAGCATTTCTGGGAATTTCATATAGCCAGAAGTCGGCGTACACCCTCTTGGTTCAGTGCCACTCACTACCCTTTTAGTTCTATTAAGATTATTCCTTTTTTTAAAATCAACAAGGAAACAGTGACTCTAAATGACACACTAGATCAGATGCATTTAATTGACATTTACAGAACATTCCACTCCAAAGCTGCAGAATAGGCATTCTCCTCAAGTGCACATGGGACATTCTCAAAGATAGACCACATGTTAGGACACAAAACAAGTCTCTACAAGTTCAAGAAGACTGAAATTATATCAAGCATCTTCTCGGACATTTACACAATGGAACACCATGCAGCTGTAAAAACCAAGGATCCCTTACTCTTCGAGAAAGCATGGTGGGACCTGGAGAGTATTATGCTAAGCAAAATAAGCCAGTCAGAGAAAGACATGATCTTACTCATATGTGGAATGTAATGAACAAAATAAACCGGTGAACAAATTAGATCCAGAGACATAGAGGCATGGAACAGACTGACGAATCTCAGAGGGAAGGCGGGGGGTGGGTGGGTAGAGATTAACGTAAGAACTTATATACCTATATGCATAACCCATGGACACAGACAATAGTAGGTTGAAGGCCTGGGGGAGGGGTACAGGGTGGAGGGGATCAATGGGGGGGGGAAAAAGGGATATTTGTATTACTTTCAACAATAAAGATAAATTAAAAAAATAAAGCTCAAATCAGAAAACAAACCATCTAGTAATATATTCAACTAAAAATGAGTGGAGAGCCCTGCCGGTGTGGCTCAGTGGTTGAGCATCAACCTATGATCCAAGAGATTGAGGTTCGATTTCCAGTTAGGGCACATGCCCGNATATATTCCCTTTTTTAAATCCTTTTATGGCTTCTTTTTCTCCTCACTAACTATGAGTTTCCCACAAGGTTCTTTGTTTCCTTTTCATTTCATACTTAATCCCTTCAGGAACATGCTTTTATTGATTTTAAAGGGAGAGGGAGAGAGAAACATCTATGTGAGAGTGAAACAACGATTGGTCTCCTGCCACACGTGCCCCGACTAGGGATCTAACAGCAGCCTAAGTATATGCCCTGACCTGGAGTCGAAACTGCAACCTTTCAGTGCACAAGACGATACTTCAGCCAACTGGGCCACACTGGCCAGGGCCCCGTACTAATTTTTAAATGTTCTCACTACTATCTCTATTCTGATGAATATATATCTATCCTATTAATCTTAAAAATACACTTGTCATTATTTTCTTACGTTGCTTAATAACAGTAATTATGCTGTCTCTAATAATCTTTGAGTCATGTACATGTACTTCAGGGATTAAACTCCAACTCCTCATGAACAGTCATCACTAGTGCACGTAGCCTTTTCCCTTATCACCCCCGTTCATCAGGCTGCTGCTAATACTTATCTACTGTCCTCTGAAAGTCAACTTTTGTCATTGCTGTTTACTCCTACCTGGAATACTATATAGAATATCCCTTTCTATCCGTGAGAAGTTTTATCTTTTAATTTAGCTTAAACAGAAAGTCTGTGTTTGTGTGAACCTCACCCACTAGCTATATGGTGCTTTAGTTTCATTTTCTGTAAAACTAGGGGTAATTAATAGTCCTTACCTTCTAGGGCTGTTGCGAGGATTAAATGAGTTAATATAGAAAACATGCTTAAAGTTTTTAGTCCATAGTAAGGGCTCAATACATAATTGTCAGCATTAAATAAAAATCTAGTTTAAAACCAACGATATTCAAGTGATGCCACTGGTATTCATACTAATTTTCTAGCTCATTGGGTATGCCTTTGGACCTCAGTTTTCATGTATTGGAAATGATTAGATCATTTCTAGGATTTGTGGCATTATGCTACTGAAGTCGATGAGAAAAAGAGAGCATGAGCTTGGAAGTCACACAAGCTGTAAGGTAACAGGAGGCACATTACTATGAAAATCCCTTAATACTTTTCACTTAAAGGTGAGGTTATATGACTTCATTTGGCTCACACCATCAGTAAGAACCAGAACTAGAAACATACCCCTGGTTTTCTGATCCCTGTTTGATAGGCATGACTCTAAATTACCAGTTTGACTTTTTTTTTAATTTACTTACATTGATGTAAGTAATGGCTGACAAACTTTTTTTATTTCAGGTAAAGACCAGCCACTAAAAGCTATAGAACAGCACAAATTATTCTCTCCAAATAAAAGAAACCCAGAGTCCATGAGTGGGCATCGGTCAACAAGGAAACGATGTGGAGACTCGCGCGCGGAGTCCCCTGTGGGCTTCGGGCACGTGAGTACTCCGGGGTGTGTGTTGAACAAATTGTTCCAGTTACCTACACCGCCTCTGTCAAGACACCAGCTGAAGCGGCTAGAAGAGCACAGATACCAGAGCGCTGGGCGGTCCCTGCTTGAGCCCGTGATGCAGCGATACTGGGAATGGCTAGTTGCAAGGGTTCCCTCCTGGATCGCCCCAAACCTCATCACCATCATCGGGTTGTCAATAAACATCTGCACAACAGTCTTACTAGTCTTCTACTGCCCCACAGCCACAGAGCAGGTAAGGGGATTTCTTACCAACATATGAACATTTGCTACCAGAAACACTGTAATTGGGATTTCTAGGCCATTTTAGCTAAAGAGAAGATACTCTGACAACTGTTTGTCAACTATTTTAAAACAGCCTATCACACATCCTGTTAATAAAGCTCGCTATACAACCTGCCTTGTACACTGTGCTTACGAGAAGCCGTAAGTAAACGTGGACTCTGGTTCTAGTAGGTAAATTAATGTTAGCGGGGTTTAACACATAAGATGTTCCTTTTAAAATCAGTAAATATCAATTCTTTATGAAAGAGTCTTTTTTTTTTTTTGGATGTCTGAGTAAAGTCTTAGCAAACTGGAAAAGAACCAGAGAGAGAAGTGTGGTAGTGAGATGGCATGGCTGTAAATTAGTCATGTCAAAAGTGGTGTCCTCTCCATTGCAGTGAGATTGTTGAATATCCCTTATTTCACCCTATAAACACATGTGGCTGATGGACCCCAAATATATCTCTGTTATTCTAACGGAAAAGAAGTATAAGGAAAAGTCAGTGTAGTGTATTTCCTGCTCCGCTCCCTGCTGTGGCTGCCATTGTAAAAGGAAGCGCGGACTGGCTTACAGAGACTCCCCGGCCACCTCAGATGCAGGCCTCTTCTGCTGTTTCCTGTTTTACCCTCAGAACTCACTACTTAAAACCAAAACTGAAACTAGAACCCCTCATCAGAATGGCTAAATTGACACTTGCTTCTTTGGTTTTAAAATGTCCCTGTGAGAAGATGAACTTTGGTAGTCAGGTAGATGAAAGAATCAAACATTTGTTGTGCCCATGTTAATCGGAGCCATCAGTCCCAGGTAACCCAGGAAGGTGACCTCAACTAAAGGTGTCAAAAGCGGCTTTTTCTATAAAGTGATTCTGAACCATGTGTGATAACATTTCACCCCCACAACGTTTCTTGTATGTTTTAAGCTTGAAGTAACAATTTTTTTAGTGTTGTCATATGATTTGTCCTTTGAGATGAAATTGTCATCATCTGTCTCTTTCTGTTTTCATCAATTCATAGTTAATTTTTCCCCAGATTCTCATTTCCTCTCCTCCTCTTTGCACAGATCCAGTCCATACAGGTTGTATGGACATAGTTCTGTTTTTTCCTCATTTTCTTAACTATCTTACTTTACATCAGTCAGGAAACTTAAAAAACAAAAACCAGTATGACTGGCTACATATCGTTGGGACTTATATAGTCCCAACAGGGCAGGCACTGACGACTTAAATAGAACAGGGCAGGATGGATGGGGTACTCTGGTGTGGCCCGCTTGGTGGGGGCAGGGCAAGGGCCTGTTCCAGGAACCAGCACGCCTGGGGCTCAGACGGACGGGGAGGGATTGGTCAGTCTGTGAGGGGATTTTCCAGAGAGCACTGCTGTCTGGCCCGGGTCTTTCTGGGTCTAGCTGGCAGGTCCTGCAGCAGTCAGGCAGCAGGCGTGTCGTGGATTAGTCTCCTCCACAACTGTATCCTTGGATTCCTCATTACCTGTCCTTTGAGCTGTTTTACGAGTGGCTTACTTGAGGACCTAACAGCTACTTCCAGAGGAATTTGGTCCAAATAGATTGGGAAGTGGCAACATATTGTGTCCCCCTTCTGGAATACTCACAGTATGCTAGTAATACTAAGGGCCAGTGGAAGTTCTGCAGTAGAGAAATCTTTTTGACATTGTTTAACCCAGTGTTTCCCACATGGGTTTAGCATGGACTTTTTTTTTTTTCACGTAGTGCCTATAAACGTCTTGAAATATACAATTTGGGAAATATTGTATATTATTCATTAATTGACTCCTAGAGTCTAAATGATTCATTCAATCAAATTATTCAATCAAATAATCTAGATTATTCATTAATTGACTCCTAGAATCTAAATGATAGATTCTTATAGAAATTACCTGAATTTCTGTAATGTCCCTGGGAAGTGGTTACCCAGCTTCTGCCCGAACACCCCTGCTAATTAAGGAATTTAATTATTTTACAGTTTGGATTGTTTCGGAATGTTTTTCATTATGTAGCACTGGGCTCTTCTCTCCCATGGGTTCCAACCAGCAGTGCTGCTCTGGAGAAAGAAGATAAAGTCTACTAGCCAAGCACAGCAATGACTGTGTCTCAGTAGCCTTGCTTTTGTTGTTTTATTTCATAGGCACCTCTGTGGGCATACATCGCCTGTGCATGTGGCCTTTTCATTTACCAGTCTTTGGATGCTATAGACGGGAAACAGGCCAGAAGAACCAATAGCAGCACCCCTCTGGGCGAACTTTTTGATCATGGTTGTGATTCACTGTCAACAGGTACTATTGATTCTTTAATGTTAATGGTTGACAGTGACAGAAGGAATGTGATAAACAATTTTAGAATAAATAAGAGGTTTGTGGCAGTATAAAAGCTGTCGGAATGAGTGATTTTGCATGTGTTTTAGCATTTTCAAAAATTAGAAAACTAGTTAATGTTGTTCATTCTTAGCTGTATTGGGAAATTTACAAACTATATTAATTTCTAGTCAGTTATTTTTAACCATAAATATTATTGTTCTGGCACCCGTTATTTTTTAAAATCTTAGAGCATAGCTGTCATCAAAAAATCTCATAAATGGTAGATGCTCATGAGTACAATAGTGGGAGACTAGGAAATTCCTAGTCTTTATATTTAAGTGGATATTATGTAGACATATAAAGCTATGTCTTAGACTTGGAGTAAATTCTGTGATAATGGGCTTGGATAAAAGGACTAGAAAAATACTACAGTAACTCATCTATTGCTAGCATGTTAGTGTTAGATATAATCTTATATGTCTCTATTTGTACTGTTTTTAAAATAATATTTCAGCCCAGCCGGGCGTGGCTCAGTGGTTGAGCGTCGACCTAGGATCCAGGCGATCAAGGTTCGATTCCCGGTCAGGGCACATGCCCCGGTTGCAGGCTGCAGCCGATCAATGACTCTCTCATCATTGATGTTTCTATCTCTCTCTCTCTCCCTCTCCCTTCCTCTCTCTGAAATCAATAAGGATATATTAAAAATAATAATATTTCAGTTCTTTTTTAGAGGGCAAAAAAAGATTTAGAAACTAAATGACAGTTTCCAACGAGTCCTCCTGACAGGAACTCCCCCGCCTCTCCCCACCACCCACACACTTCTTTTTATTTAGTTCTTCAGTTGGTTTCTTGTCATTTGTCATAGCGATGAAAATATTTTAAAAGCAACAAACAAAACCCTACATGGTTTTACCTCATGAACTCTGATTCGCTGACATAGGTGCGTGTTAAAGTTACCATTTCAGTGTATCCGACAGCAGCTTGCTCAGTAGAGGAGAGGAAACAGCTAAACTCTTATAAACACTTGAGACTCAAGAAAAAAATCAAACTTTCCACTGAATAAAGGCTAGTTGGGCATCTCAAAAGGCTGTTTTAATTTAATTAGGTGACAGCAGAGTGATAGGATCCTATTTTTTTATTTTAAGTAATAGTCATTTTTGCACTGTAGTTTGAGTTCCAAAACTTTTATAGGAAAGTCCATAATGATATTTGCTAAATAAGAAAAGACAGCCATCAATCTGAAGCAAGTAGGGCCCTTTGTGAATTATCTAGGCCTTTTTTTTTCCTTTCTTTTTGACTCTGCCTTGTCTTTTTTTTTTTTTTTTTACTGCTCATTAGTACACTATCACTAAGTTGGGAGAATACTCCAAAAAACTGCTAAAGTATTTTAATTGCTTTCAAAAACTTAGGTTTCACTAAATGGTGCAGAGAAAGAGGAGATTGAAATGACGGGGTAAAATATGGTGTAAAAGATTATACTCTTCTTTCCTGTTACCATTGATAACTGAGAGAAGATGGTACATTTACAGCATGTCTTTGTTTTGCCTCCTCTAAAATCATTTCAGCTCATTGGTAACAGGAAATGTTTTTTTATTCAGGTTGCTCGGTTTTCATTGTGATCTTTCCTTTGCAGTGTTTGTGGTTCTTGGAACTTGTATTGCAGTGCAACTGGGGACAAACCCTGATTGGATGTTTTTCTGTTGTTTTGCTGGGACATTCATGTTCTATTGTGCACACTGGCAAACATATGTTTCGGGAACATTGCGATTTGGAATGTAAGTAACACTTAATGGTGATTTTGTTTTCTCTTTCAAATATTGAGAGTGTTGCGTATAGGTATTTGAGTATTAGGAATGGTCAAATCACAAAATTAGTAAATAAAATAAATTGAAAACCTTCATTATTCTAGCTCTTACCTAAGGTCTCCATTACATGTCCTTCTATCATAGTTTTTAAAAATAAATATTAGAACCTCCCAATCAACACTTTTGAATATTCTTTTATTGATATTTTTAGAGAAGAAGGGAGAGGGAGGGAGAGAGAAACATCGATGTGAGAGCAGAACATTGATCAGGGATGGAGCCCGCAACCCGGGCCTGTGCCCTGACCAGGAATCGAACCAGTGACCTTTTGGTGCACAGGACGACGCCCAACCAACTGAGCCACGCCGGCCAGGGCCCAATCAATAGTTTTAAAGTAATGAGAAAAGCAGTAGCCCCTCCTCACTTATAATCCACTTGTCTTTCCATCAGACAGATTCAGTTTTCTTTTTTTCTACTCTTACTCACCTTAACTCTGTGTTTAATTTTGACCTATGAAAATTCATTTTCAGGAAAGAAGAAGATAGTTTATGAGAGCAACTCTAATTTCTAAATATTGTAGCTTAATTAGGTTTTATTCTTTTCACATTTTATTTATGAATCTATAAAAATCTCAGCTCTTGGTAATTGACATGAACACACCATATAGATTATTACTGCCAACAAAGTGCCTAAGTATTTAAGAAATAAAATGCAAACTCCTTTCAAACTTGAAAGTGAGTAGTTCCAGGGTGGTGACCCATAAATATTAATTAGTCAACCAGTCTCCGAATGAGGTTAAGGGTGGAATTGACCAGCTGGTGTTTAATTAAGTATCACAGATCCTGTTTACACTGCTCAAGTTAGTCTTTTATTTTTTTTCATGGTATAAGATCAAAAGAGAAAGAACTTGAAAAATGACTCGGAATACATCATGAAATGTCAAAATAAAAATCTGATGGCAAATGATAGGAGAACATCTTAACCTGGTCTCTAATTAAGATGAATCATTAGGAGAGTTTTGAATTTTAGATTCATAATAAATTTAGTGTTTGAGGCCTTGAAAAACCCAGAGTGCATAAAAGTTCAGGTATTCCCTACAGGTTTAGTTAAGATGATTTTTGCTAAACTTACTTAAATATAGTTTAAGATGTTCTTAACTATGACAGTAACTGAATAACTATTTAATATTTTGTATACTAAGTAAGAGACATATCCCAGAATAATTTCAAAATAAAGGGGTTTAGAGAACATGTTTAAGGCCAACCTTAAGGTGTTATTATTATAAGAGACAATAGTGGGCATGAGTGTCCAATTGAAAACTATATGCATTGATCAGCAGTTTAAAAATGGTTGGTGCTCAGAAAATATTGAAGGTTTCTGATATATTTTTTTAAAAAGCAGTAATTGAAAATATGTGCCACTGTTTTTTCTCAGACTTCTAAAATTACTTGGTTTGCCCTAATTTTTAAATTTAGTGATGTTACTGTTTTCAAAGATAGCAGAAGTTTTAATATCCAGATTTGGCGTAGTTTATGTTTCATTGGTATGATCACAGAGTTAACTTTCAGGCCCTTATTTTGAAAAGTTATTCATCATCTAGCCCTAATTTATTCTCTTTCCCTTTCAAGTAAAGCAGCACCAACCATATGGTGTGGGAACTGAAGGAGGGAAAGCAAAAACCAGGGAAGCAGGGACAAGTAAATAGATGACATTTGTAGAAGTGATTTGTTGTTACAGCTCTCTCTTTGCCAGTCTCAGAATTGTCCCGGTGGTGTAGTCCTTTGACGAAATATGTACTTGGAGAACTGCAGGCAGTACCAGGTTGTTAGATCATCAGATGCCTGTGGGGGAGTGGCAGAAGATAAGGCTGGAGAAGCTCCAGAAGATCAGGGGCCTTCTATATCCTGCCAAGAAATGTGGGCTTTGATCCGGAGTCTGTGAGGAACCTGTGCAGGACCTCAAGCAGGGACATGACAAAATGACCTTTTGGAAAGATCAGTCTGACAACATTTTGGAGAATGGGTTGGAGTGTCTGTGACTGAAGTAAGGAGACCCCTTAGGAGGCATCAGTACAATTAATGTGAGGAATGATGTCTGAACTAGTGCAAAGATAGTGCTCTCTAAGAGAAAGAGGGAGGTCGGAGAGAGATTTAAGAGGTAGAGACTTCAGGGCATAGTTTCTGTTTGGATATGGAGAGTAAGAGAGAGCGGAGACTGGAATGACTCGCAGTCACCTCAGGTGGTTGAATGGAAGGTGGAGAAAGGCAGTACAGGAAAAGGAGCCTTGTTGTTAATTTTAAAGAGAGGGAAGGGGGGGTAGGAAGAGAGAGAAACATCGATCTGTCGATGTCTGTGTAGAATCATTTTAATAAATGCTTAGGAACCCTAAACAATCTTTAATAAACTATATTTATGCAAAACATGAGCCATAAAAACTCAAAAAGAAAGTATAGTAAATTGAACTGAGACCAGTATATCTTGCCTCAAGTGTTATTTCCAAATGATCTCCTCTGTATATCCACTTGGGCAAGACCCATAACTTTTATTGCCTCGTTTTCTAATGTGTAAAATAAGTTTGGCTCTGACCCAGGAGATTGCGGTTCGATTCCCGGTCAGGGCATATGCCCGGGTTGCAGGCTCGATCCCTAGTTGGGGGTGTGCAGGAGGCAGCCAATCAATGACTCTTTCTTCATTGATGTTTCTCTCCCTCTCCCTTCCTCTCTCTGAAATCAATAAAGATATATTTAAAAAATAAAGTAAGAGTTTGGGATTAGATGATAAGTAAAGTTCCTTCTGTGAATCCATTAAGTTTACAAATGTTACTTCTAGTGTACTTATTACTTATAATTACGGCAGGCAGAGTATTTATCTTCATTTTATTACATTTTTTTTCTATAATTAAATGAAAAAAGTTAATAGGCTATGTATTCTGGTGGTCTTACAAATCTAGTTCACCTTCTTATGCAAGTAACCTCTAAAGAATAAATAGTGGAAGACCTCCTAGTCATTAAAAACTGTTATCTATTAATGTGTGATCCATTTCCTGTGGATTAAAAATGAGGAAACTTCTTGTTGAGTGCCTTTATAGGATCTGCATATCTGTAAATGTTCAAGATTTATCACGTGGATTATTAAACACCAAAGACTTCCTTTAGTTTCTATTTTCCTGTGTATTTTCTTCTCAGCCATGATTCATTCATTTGGATTCTGCCCATTTTATCACAGTGTTGTAGGTAATATTCTAAAACAACTGTTTGTATGAATGTAAAACCTGGAATGCAGTTTGGACTCAAGTCACTGGGCAGAATCACGGACTTCTCTCTCTCTCTCATTAGCACTCCTCAGAGCTTAAGTGTGGTTATGTCGATTTTATGTGAAGTCCGTTCCAAACCACTAGTCTTTTTTTCTATCACCAGCTGTGTCCCAAAACTTTTCTAGTGATGGAATTGGATGTTTTACTCATTTTTACCACTAATAAACTTTTTCAGGATAGTAGAATGTGTGATGCCATGTGGAATTAAGGGAAGAGAAAGATGGAAAAGGGTACGACTCTGGAGTAGAGATTACCAGGAGACAGGACAGGGAAATCTAACCATTTCCAAAAAGCCCCCTTCCCCACTTGCCCTTTCCACGTGCATGTGCATTTCACTGAGCTAGCAGGAGTAGGGGCATGATGAGTTGCGGGGCAGTGAAGGGATGCAAGATATTAGTGGTTTTTCAAGCACGGAGATGTCTGTGCCTTGGGGCTTGTGGGAAGCAAAGTAGTAGTCATCGTTCCTTCCTAGGTAATTGAGAACTGACTGCACATTTTTAGTTCTAGTGTTTCCAGCTGCTGATTTACAAGTCATTTATTCAGTGTGTTATGGTTTTAATTTTTAAGCTTTTATACTGTTTGGATTTCGGTAAGAAATATAATGTATGCATAGGATAGCGATGGTATTGTATGAATCATATTCATGTGTGCATAGGATAGTGATGGTATTGTATAAACCATATACATGTATGCATAGGGTAGCAATGATATTGTATGAATCATACACATGTATGCATAGGGTAGTGATGGTATTGCATAAACCATGTACATGTATGCATAGGGTGGCGATGGTATTGTATGAATCGTGTTATTGAATCCTTAGATGTCTTAGTAAGGAGAATGCTACCTTTTAAATCTTTTTGTTACCTATTGTAGGGGGGCTAAATCTTTAGCAGAAGCTCTGAGTAAAGTTATTTTGAAATGTTTGTTTCCTTATGCATAGATTCGATGTTACAGAGTCCCAGATCATAATTATAATAACCCAGCTTCTCACAGGAACCCTGGGACCTTGGTTCTGGAACGTCACGGTAACTGCTGGATATTCATGCTGTCCAATGAACAATGGCATGAACTCAATAAAGACGGCACCTTTGTCATGCACAGAGTAATTAAAACAAAAAATCACAAGTCTCTCTGCTGGTATTCCACAGGCAAACAGGTTATTAGAAAACAAATCATTTTAACATATAATAGGGCAATAAAAATCCACCCTATTAAACAAAACATTTTAAAAACAATATTTTGATGATGTGATGCTAAAAGCATTTCTCTCCTAATAATACCATTTTTGCTCTATGTAATATTTTTAAAACAAATACCTTTCCACCATTAAATAGATTTTTTTTTTTTTTTGTATTTATATTTTTAAACAATAAAGCAAGCAGAGTTTTCCTTAGATAGGTAGATTGAGAGAACTTTTTATAGTGGTGTGGAAAAGATTCTGTTTATTCTTCTAACTTCTTCAGCACATCCTTTAAGCGAGGTAATGCTAGGGTTTCTGCTGCTGTTTTCAGTGATTTTGTTTTTATTTTAAAAAATTAATGCTAGAAGCTGCTCTCACTTCTGTTACGTTTACTGTTTTCCTCTCTGATTTGTGCTTTTAAAACTAAGTATCCTTAGCTTCCCTATTACTATAGTCATCCTTTGACGCCTTTCTTTTTCAGGTTTTTTTAAATGTATATTAAATGCATATTTCTGTAATTAATACTAAGAGTAAGTAATGTACCTTTTTCTTGATATATTAGAAGTGTGATTTTGACCTTTTGACTTTTAAAATTTCAAGATTTATTAGGATATGATTTCCCAGTAGAACAGCCCAGAATCCTTCACACTTTGGTATGAAACAGTGTATTTACAAGAAAATAGAACTTAGATTCTGTTTATTTTGTTTTTCAAGGAGTACTGGGGAACTGTGCATATGGACACCTGTCAGATCGTTCTAGCAACACAAGGCTGCATTCGGTTTCCTATGTTATGTCCTTGTGCCCCCAAATGCTTCAGTAATATGATAGAAATAGTCTCTGGTAGCAGAGTTCTTTCTGGAAGGTATCTTGCAGCGTTGTAAATCCAGTTATTCAATGGCAGTGACTTCCTATGTCAGCTATTGCCTATTGAGTTGTACCATTTTAGAGAAAATTGTGTTAGAATATGAGAAGCGTCATCCCGAAACATATAGACAGTTACAGCAGTTAGATGCATGTGAACCTGTCTGACCTCCTAGGATGATTTTGAAAATTAAAAGTCAAAAACATACAGCGACTAGCGTATAATAAGTGGTCATTATCATTATTATTAATCTTAAGACCCATGTTAATAACTCCCCAAAGTTTTCAGATTTCTTCTGGGACTGATTGTGCTGGTCTGAGTGGAAGAATATGCCCAGGATCCCTTTATTTAACTCCAAGGTTATTCCCCAGTGAGGAGAGAGGGCTCTCTCCTCACTCTTCTGATAGGCTGCCCCTTAGCAAGCTTTAGTTCCTCTTAGAGGACTGTTCTAGTCTGGCCTGTGGCTGTTTTCCTCTTCTTATTCAAAGTCACTAGATAGGTTGTTTTTTGTTTTAAGTCTTTAAAGATAATCTAAAGATTCACATAGTCATTCATGTGGTAGATAATACTGTTTTAAATAATTCAGCTTATCTCAAAAATAGATGCTTAGACATTCTCTGTATATAACACTTGAATTGAAAATATTCATACTTATCACTCAGCTGTAATATTATTTAACATTAATCTAAATTTCCCATGCCCAGTTTGCCCCTTATCAAGGGTAGGAAGTAAAATATTGGCAGGCAGTATATTGAATTTCGAGCTAACCTTTATTCCACTCTACCAGTCTTCACCCAACCATGGTATTTCTGGTGACATATATATGAATGCCATATACTGGTCATGCATAAGTTCCATAGAACTTCAGATCCACTTATAAATAACTGCAAATCTGTAGTTAATAGCAATCTAATCTTCAAATAGGATTCCAGACACCTTCAATGACTTTTTCAACAAAATGCTTCTTTTTTTTCCTAATGTGTCTTTATTGATTTCAGAGAGAGGGGGAAGAGGGAGAGAGAGAGAGACAGAAACATCAGTGATGAGAAAGTCGTCATTGATCGGCTGCCTCCTGCACACCTCCGACTGGGGATCGAGCCCGCAACCAGGGCATGTGCCCTGACCAGGAATCAAACCACAATCTCCTGGATCCTAGGTCAATGCTCAACTGCTGAGCTGCACCCAGCGGGGCCAAAATGCTTCTTTTTAAATAATAGCTCACAAGTCAAATGGTACAAATCAGGGTTTCTTTGACATTGTGAATTTAGCCCTAAGTACATAATGTGTTAACCAAGCTAGTAGCCAACCTAAATTTACAACACAATTATATTTGCTATGTACAGTTTAACAAAAAAAGTTATGTTTACAGATTTGCAAGTATATCTTTGGAATGTGTATGACATATAAAACATTCTGAGAAAAGATGATTAACATGCTTATCAACTCTCACAGAATGTCATTTACATTCCTTCACATCCCTTAGTTAATCCTGAGTCTTGTTGGAATTCAAACCAAATGCATGTTGGTAGGTATCCCAATTTGGGGCTTTGTAAAGATCTTTCATGTTTTCTGTTCTCTTTTACATTTATCCAAGGTACAAGTAATTGCATGAGGTTCCCTCCATTTTTATTTTGTAATTCTATACTTCTGGCCCTTCCCCTCCCAAAAGGCTACTTCATATATCCAGCAAAGTGTTGTAAGATGTCTGCCCTCCACCCAAGACAGAGTCGATCATCTCTGACACCTGCTTAGTCTCCTGAGTCTGCTACTGAGTGTAATTTTCCTTATTGGCAACACCACTCACCAGGTCAGCTCTACATATTCTTTTTAGCCTAATTCAGTCCATTTTTCCCCCAATATGTGTATATCGAGATAACTACATCACTATATGTTTGCAGCTTAATAAGCTTGTTCGAAAAACATTCTTGAGCAAACAAAGATCAGTTTTTTTAGTGGTGAGAGACTGGTTTCAACCTAGTTACTTGTTATAGATGTGAGAGCTTACGAATCTTAAATTCACATTATAGATTGAGGGCTCTCCTCTGCTCTGGGAGTTGAACCGCCTTGATGTTGTTGATATCTATTTTTCTTAGACTTTTTTTAAAATTTACTTTCTTAACAGATCAGTTATTCATTTTGTTCGTTAACATTATAAAAGATATGCAGTTAATAGTCTCCTCCCATTCTTGTCTCCCAGTGGTCTAGGTCCCACACTGTCCTTTCCACTAGGTAACCACTGTTCTCAGTTTACGATTTAAATCCTTGCAGAAATGATGTAATTAATGGCAAAAATAAAAATAGAATATTATATGTCTTTTTTATGCAAAAAGTAACATATACACATTCTAGAACATTTTTTTTGTTTTTACCTAGTATGTCATTGATATGTTTCCATATCACTGTGTCAGGAGCTCTGCCCCTCGTTTTTAAAGCTACCGAGTATCCCATTGCATCACAGTTCCATGATTTCTGTAACCATGCCCTCGTTTATAATTTTCTATTATAAATAATGCTGTAATGAATAACCTTGTGCAGACATGGTGTGCATGCCTGTCTGTAGGGTAAGTTCTCACAGTTAAATGGCCTTTGGGCCCGGCGCTCTGAGAAGGAGCGTCTCAGGGCGTTAGCAAGCAGCGGCAGGAAGGGGCACGGCTATGTGCTTTGCTCCTGCCTTCCTGCCCAGATTCTTCTCAGGCTCTCAGGCTTCTCCTTTCTGCTGCCCTGCTTTTGTACCAGCTCTGCCTCTTTCACTGTGAGGTCATTTCCAGCTGCCTTAAAGCTAACTCTTGGTTGCTTTCAGTATCTTCTTTCCAGAAATCTTAGGGTAGTTGACCTAATAAGCATAAGAATCTGAGGATTGGGTGAAACTTTTTTATACCCACAGCATGGGAGGCATTAAATGAGTACATCTACAGGGCAGTGAGTTTGCAGGGTCTCCGTGAGGTATGTGACTATAGTGGAAGCTCACGGTTTCTTCCATTTGGTGCTACAAAGACCTCATGTATCAGTACAGTGCAATCCTCTGCTTGACAGTCAAAATAAATGTAATATACACACCTTTTTTTTTCTCTTTTTTTTTTGGTTGGAAAGGTGAAGCTATAGTCAGAAATTTCCTTTGGAAAGGAGGGGTTTTTATTGCTCTGTGAAATTCATCAAATTAAATTAGGAAGCTCTGGATTTGATTTGATTTTGCTCATAACAAATTTTTGACACCCCCTTTCCCCTCTCCTCAATGTTTGAGATTTTTTTTCTATTGTGCATGATAGAGGAATGCTGCTAAGCTTGCAACTAATGAACTTGAAATTGTTTTGAGTAATTCTGCTTTTTTGGCTTTTTGTACCTAATCAGAATTGATGTGACTGAAGTGCAAATCTTCATAATAATCATGCATTTGCTGGCAGTGATTGGAGGACCACCTTTTTGGCAATCTATGGTAATTCCGTTCACATTGTGTATCCCATGTACTGCATGTTGTCTCTTGCTTGTGTTTCTAATACAGGGTAATGCAGATTAAAAGTGATGCGTGAAATTATTTTATTCTTTCTGAAAATGAAAAGGCACAGCCACAGTTAGGCACAGACTTCCCTTCAGGGCTGGTGAATTTTACTACTAGAATTGAGTGGCGCATAAGGTGCATTCCAGGGCTATTTTTGAAGGCTTTCTGAATCATTTGTTATTCCATTTTACAGCTGAGAAACAGCAGATAGTGTATCGAGCTAACCAATGACAAGATTAAATTAGCCCCTTTATTCCCTTTCTGAACTCCGAGTTTTTTTGTCAGATGCTTAAAGCTGAAGAACAAATTTAGAGAAGTAAATTTTTTGTCATATGCTTAAAGCTGAAGAACAAATTTGGGGAAATAAGTTAACTTTGGCCCCAAAACAGAACAAAGGCATATTAAAGCCAGTGCCATAGGATTTTTTTTTTTTTTTACAAGCCAGGACCTATATTTTTCAAACTGACCTAAAACATAGTCTCCCCTACAATCACAAGTTCTTTTCCAGAAACCTCTGAAAGAGGGAATATAATATGTATGACATGGAGACCAAGAGCACAGGCTCAGGAGCCAGGCTGCCAGAGTTTGCTCCAGCTCCACTGTCTGCTATGAGAACTTCATCTGTTACTCAGCTCTCCGCTGCTTGGTTTCTCCTCTGTAAAATGAGGACAGTAGTACCTATCCTATCAGGTTATTTTGTGGATTCAGTGAGTAAACATGTGTAAGGCACTTAGAACGGTGCCCATCGTATAATAAGCCTTCAGAGGGTGCTGTTCTTACAGTTAGAATGTATCCTTCCAGATTGGAGTCAAAGTAGCTTGTCCTCCCTGGTCCAGTTAGCTGCTGGCCATCACCACCACCCATCCAGAGTACAGTATTTGTAATTTATTTAGTGTTATCTTGCCAAAAAGATTTACTGGTCCTGAGCGAACATAATTCTTGAAAAATCAGATTGGTTTTAAGGTACAAGGGAAGTTTCCTGAGCAACAGTCTTCCCTTACCTAAGTCACCTTATGATGGTAAATTAGATACTTGAGGAAGTGTAATTAACATACTTCCCTAAGAATTTATTGCTAATAATTGTTTAATGCCCTTTATTCTGGGGGAGGAGGGTGGAATGAAGGAATAAAAACAATCCATAGTCAACTAGGAAAATTTTGAAACTATTTAATCATGTACATAATGTTATGTACATAATATCATTCAGATCACATCTTTCCTACACATTTGTCTCAAAGTCCAGTACGGTCTCTAGAGAAATCTGAGATCTATAGATTTCACTAGAGAATTTTATTACTTTTGCTCTCCACTAGGTCAGTAGTTATTTATATATGTAACAGTTCAGCCGTAGAGGGGGGAAGGATTTTTCGTAAGACTAGATCATAAAGCCTAAAGCCTACTCCCACTTAAATTTATTGTATCTCTTGACTGTATTATTTTCATAGGCTTTGTGTTTTACACCAAAATCCCCCCCTTCCAAAGTTATTTTGAATATCTTAAACATATATAAATTACCATAGTTTTAGCATACCAATAAAAAGAAAGTGGGGTTTTGATTTGGTCATCTAGACACAGGTGAGCATCAGGTGCATAGCTATATACCTAATTGTCCTTCTCAGTGTGGAAGTACGTAAAAGCACTGTTATACATGAAGCTAGAGATACACATCTCCGTAGTTTTTAGGTTTTGCCTGGCAGTAAATTTGCTTCAGGTGTACTTGTTGCCTTTTTAAAATTAGGATTTATACACACAAATCTGTACACGTACATAACAGATGTAATTTTTTTTAAAGGATCAAGTATTTTGTCCTGTCTTTATTGAGAATTAATAATATAATCATCCTTTTTTATTAAATGTTTTAAAAAGCAATCTGAGGAACTCTCCGAATCAAGACTAACATGGAGTTCGCAGACCCAGCAGTCCAATTCCAGGGTTAGCGAGGTTAGGTTGCAGGTGGGAAACACATTCCCACCCTGTCTCGTCGTTACCGTCTATCACTGGTCCTCCTGTCTCCATCATTAGAGGAAAAGGGAAGTGCCTGGCATCACTGGTGCTTTCCGGGGGGCTTAGAGAAACATTCTGTGTTCTTTGGGCGATTTCCCGTACACATGCCCATAACTGACCCCAGACCACTGTATTTCATTTTTTCTTTTTACTTGACCCTCTGCATTTATTGCTGAGCATGTTAGTTCAGGAAAGATTACTACATATATTGTCACCACTTACTTGTGTGCCAAAATGGAGAGATGATTGGTTTAGGGCCTAGATGTGAAATTTTCATCTCTTTTGAGGTTGATGTCATAAAATGGAAATTGCTTTCCAAACCCTCATTAAAAAGCTTTTACTAATATTTAGAAATTAAATTTATGGTAAATACAAAGAAAAACAGTGCAGATGTCTTTATAAAGCTGATTCCAGAAGATCAGCTATGAAGCAGAGGTAAGTGACTTCTGTCTACTACATACGATGGCCCATTTCCTCCAGCTCTCATTTCTCTTCAAAGAGACAAGTTCTTACCAAGGTTATAGTTCATGTTTGTTGGTTTGGTTGGGTATTTTTTTTGTCTTGTTTTTGTTTTGTTTTTTAAGGAAAAAACTATTTTTATGCACAAAAGTCCACTATTGCATGGTTTACATGTTGCAAGAAATAAAACACACTTTTGTGTATTGCTTCCCCAAAAGAATATGTCCTTTTGGAATGTCTTGGAACTATCTTTTGTCATATCACTTTTGAAATAGGGGGTAAGGAAAGTACTACTTTGAAGGGAACCCACAAATGATCCCTTCACTCTGCCTCCGATTTCCTGGTAGCTAACTTCCCTTTTCCCTCTTAATGTGGGGACAAGTGTGTCTTTATACTCTCTCAAAACAGTAATTCTGCATTGAGAGTAAGAGAAAGGGACAAGATCTTCATTCAACAAGTGTATATTGAGCCCCTGCAATATTCGGGGCTCTAGAGAGAAGATAGAGACCAACTGAAACAAAGCCCTGCACTCAGGTGCATATGTGTGATGAATGCAGCTGTCCCAGGGCAGCCGTGAGGAGGCTCCTCAGCATGCTCACGATCCTCGCTTCTGAGTCTCTGCTTGCCCGCTGGCTTACTTTGTGGTCTATGCCGTTTACTAATTTGCCTGGCTTTTCTGACGTTCCTGTTTATTCTCTCTTCCTTCGAAGGGCAGCCATTTCCATAATCCTAAAGCATTTTCTAGATTTTAAGTACAGCTGTGACGCTGTTCGGTTCAGTTGTGCACAGATCACTAGGCCAGAGCTGGCGCTCATTCCGTCCACTGGCCCCCATTCAGGCAGGCCCCTTAATGCTTTGCTTCTTCTGAAATCTGGGGGAGTGTAGTGTTTCCCTCTTGCCAGACAGGTCCTTTGTCACGGGAGGGAAAGGGATGCCAGCCAGCATACTGAGTTTCGGCCAGGTGCATCAGACTCAGATTGCAATATTTCTAGTTTTCTGAACTATAGCAGAAAAGTTTCTTGGAGTTCAAAGCAACTGTAGTGTTGATTTTCTTTTTTATTGAAAACAAGTTTTGGATTGGTCTGAGGGTTTGGAGATCAATTAGGAGAGGAACACAACCATTGTTTAGGATGGGCCATGAAGTTCTGGACTTGATTTTTTAAGTTGACCTATTTCATTTTAGAAACTTAAACACTGTGACAGCACAACTTGAAATTTGAACAGTGTTTTCAACTTTTTTTTTTTTAGAGCTGCAATTTTGCAAGAGGTCATAGAGTTGAGTAAACAAACAGAAGTCTTAAGAGTTTTGAAGAAATAGAGGATTTAAACATTAACAATTATCTCTCTACCAATTTTACTGCGGTTGTATACATATTAGGAAATTTCACATTTCCTATTTGATTTTTAAAGTGTAGGCAGATGGCAGCCCTAAGAAGTATAAACAGCCCTAATTAAATTATTTTTATTGTAAAAACTCATTTCCTATGAAGCTTTTGTGGGCTGTTGCAGTCTTGTTCCTATAGTTGTTTGTTTCTGTTTTTAGACTGTATCACTTTACTGTTGCTTTCTTTTCAATCCATATTGGACAAAATTTGAGACTTCAGAAAAGCTAAAGGAGAGGTATTGAAAGGGAGAGATTCTTAAATGATTTTAAAAATTAATATAAGTGTATTTCATTTTAAATGATGGGTTTGTGTTTGCAAGATTAAGTCCATGATCTAAATCCACTTATTTACTTCTGAAAACTTAAGTTTATATGTTAAAATTTGGGGTACACAGTTGTAGAGCTGTACCTACTTGGATGTACTTGCCACGTTTCCCCCCCGCATATGAATGCCCTTGTAGGTGCCTTGTGCTTACTAAATGCCTGTATCCTAACAGTCTGGCCTTGGGAGCGCTTCTGAGTAGAACTTTTGTCTTCCATTCTCTGGTTTACAGATTTTTTTTAATCTAGTTGCAACTATTTTTAGACTTTTACAATCCATGCTTTCTCTATCATAACAGTTATAACAAATTATGGACATAGAGGTAGAGTTAGAAAATGCACAGAATAAAAGGCAGAGTACTCTCCTTTGATAAAAAAAAAACAACAACCCAGAAGACAGCCAAGTTCACTGTTGCCAGCTTTCTGGAATGCGTTAGGCGAACTTTACTTAGTTTATGACTCAAATTAATAAAGTGGGAGTAGTTTTTTGTTTTTAAAGATTGATGTCAGAAGTGCGATTAATTTCTATGTAGCCTCATCTCTTGAGACTTATTATATTGTTTATAAAGGAAAGGAGAGAGAACCTTCCATTAATGTAAGTATTTACTAAGCTGGAGGGCATGGAGAACATCTCAGTATAAATTGAAAATTTGTTGTTTCCTTGTTTTAACTTGTATACATTTTAACTGTTCTTTCTCTCTGCCTATTAAAGATTCCAGTGCTGAATATTCAAGTGAAAATCTTTCCTGCACTTTGTACTGTGGCAGGGACCATATTTTCCTGTACCAATTACTTCCGTGTCATCTTCACGGGTGGTGTTGGGAAAAATGGATCGACAATAGCGGTGAGTACAGCTCAAGATTCCCAGAGGTGGTTTATGCTGGCGCTTGGTTTTGTGGTCACTTTTTCATTTGACTTGTATGAAATCACTTGTTAACTAGGAGTTTCCACTTAGTCTTAAAAATAGTAATATCCAAAACTTCAGTTGTATTTGTACGTGCATACGTGTATATGCCTAGATGCGTGTTTTTGTGATGCGCACACACACGCTTTTATACACATGTATTTTTAAAAGGTATGACCTGCTTTATAAAATCAGCCTGGCCTCTTAAAAGTAAAATCCTCAGTTTGTGCCTAACCAGTCCGGGCGCTGCTGCTTCGCTGTTCCAATGACCCATTATAGAAACTGCCGGCTGTCGGGCCCCACGAGGGTCTTAGGAGCGTGCATGAATCAGTGTGAATCCTTGTCATTCCTCTCCCCGGCTCCGCGCAGGGAACAAGCGTGCTGTCTCCCTTTCTGCACATTGGCTCCGTGATCACACTGGCGGTGATGATCTACAAGAAGTCAGCGGTCCAGCTTTTTGAAAAGCACCCCTGCCTTTATATACTGACGTTTGGTTTTGTATCTGCTAAAATCACCAATAAGCTTGTGGTAAGCACGGAAGTTTTTATTTGTAATTTTCATCTTACTTTGGTTTTATGGCCATAGCTTTCATTCCATGGTGTCCTGGGAAGCTCTAGAGTTTGCTCTCCTCCAATCAGAATCTCTCGACACCAGCGTGGGAGCTGCGGGTACCTCCTGTGAAGCTGCAACAAAAAGCTTCTTGAACCACCATAACTTCTTTCTCTGCAGTTTCATTTGCTTACTTTGCTCGCTGCATCCTTTAGTCTCACTCTGTACATTCAAATTAGGCTCCTCGTGAGAAGCATCTCCTGGGGGCTTAGTTGACGTGCTAGATCCTTTCGGTGTGTAGCTCTCAGACCCACTTCATGGTGTCAGAGTTGTAGTTTTGGAAATTCAACACATATTGCTAAAGAATTCTTGAAATTCGATATTCAAGCACAGTACTGATTTCCGGTGTAGATCATAATTTCTCTAACAATGCCCATGTCATTGATTTCTCTCTCATTCCTAGGTGGCTCACATGACCAAAAGTGAAATGCATTTGCACGACACGGCATTCATAGGCCCTGCACTTTTGTTTCTGGACCAGTATTTCAACAGCTTTATCGATGAATATATTGTACTTTGGATTGCCCTGGTAGGTATTGTATTTCATGATGTGGAGGCTGCTAATTTTCTTGTTTCAGGGGGCCAGTCCTGAGAGAGAAATCTTACAATTGTAATGATTTGGCATGTCAGAACCACAATTATGGGACTTGGCGAGAGTCCTTGTGGCTTTGTCTTTGAGCCATGTTTTGCATTGTTATAATAGAATTCTGCCTGCTTTAGGGCTTATAAATTCCATATCTCTAACTGTAAAGCAGGAGTCGGCAAGCTACACTCTGTGGGCCATTGGCCTGGTTTGTAAATAAAGTTTGATTAGCGCACAGCCGTGGCCATTCATGTATGTATTGTCTATGGCTGCTTTCATGCTGCAGTGGCAGAGTTGAGCATTTGTGACAAAGACAGTGTGATCCGCAAAGCCTAAAATAATTACCATGTCTCCAGAAAGAGTTTGTTGAGCCTTGATGTAAAGGAAGAAGCAATGAGATGCTGAGTTACTAAATTGTATAGAATGGAGGGTGAATCTGAAGAGAAGGGAAGGAAGTCAGAAGCCACTCCTTTTTACTTTCAGGAAGCTTGGGGTGGCCTGAGCAGGTCCTAAGAATCTAAGAGTCTCTTTTCTCCCCAGGTCTTCTCTTTCTTTGATTTGATCCGCTACTGTGTCAGTGTCTGCAACCAGATCGCCTCTCACCTGCACATACACGTCTTCAGAATCAAGGTCTCTACAGTCCATTCGAATCATCACTAGTGACGGAGTCAGTGTTATATAGGAGACTCATGTTTTCTGCAGGAAAGAATCTGAACATAATGAGAGTGGGGTGGACAAGAACAAATATAATTTATAATAATCAATGTTGTGTAACTTTTATTCTTTGTTACTGGTAACACCCCTTAATGATCCTGCGTGAGAATGGGAATTTCATGTCCTGTCATGTAAATTGTACAAGTTGGTACACAGGGTTTAGCCCAAGAAAGCATGTGCGAACGAATGCCACGTGTTTGTAACTAGCCTGGACTCAGAATAAAATTGTCATGGGGGGCCGATTCCCAGCTGTGATTTCTTACGTAGAATGTATGCAGGCCACAAGACGGTTGCTTTATAATTTTAACAAATCATCATCTTTTAGTGACATCTTTGATTTGTGTCTTCTCAAGCTTTCTTTACTAAGGAGCTCACCTCATGGCACAGCTGTACCCCACTGGCTGGTGAGGGGAGCTAGGGATAAACACCTCAAATTTGGAAGGAAAGGTGTCCTGTCTTTACACATTGAGGAAGCCGTTTTTTTATTGCTCAAGAAATGGTGTCTCATGGGCTGGGGAGCCCTGTCAGCATGTGGAATAATGTACCTTTGTCGATCCATTTTATTTTTTTTAATAAATATATGATCTGAAAAGCCAGCGTTTTTCTCAGTTTTATTCCCTGGAAAGATAAACTACGTTTTAATATCATTTTTCAAACTCGAAGCAAAGTTTATTTCTGTTCTTTAATAAATAAGAAAATTTGGTCAGCTGTGGTGTCATGATGTGTCCTGTGACCTTTCTGTTTCGTATAAACTGTTCAACTTAAAACATAGAAGAGCTGTGTTCATTTTCCCTACTGATGGGTTTTTTGTAGTTTTCACCCTGGCCTCTGAGGGCCACACTCACGTACACACACTAAAAGGATGGAGATTTTGAAAGACTGAGTGGCTCTAAAAGTTCCTGTTCCTTCCGTTTCAGCAGAAGGTGGAGGCGTGGAGGGAAGGGGGACTAGGCGACCACTAAACTCCTTCCGACTCTTGCGATTCTCTTTTCTCAAGAGAAAAAAACTGTCGTGGGATCCCTCCACCTTTAGCTGAAGAGTTGAACTGGGCTTCCCAAAATAGCAAGTAGGGTGTCTAAAACGGTTCCAAACTGGAGGTGATGGGCGGGCAGACCTATTTATGAAAGCAGTGCCGACGGCCTTCCCCTCTGGCTTCTGCTCGCTGAAATGCCTGCCCTCGAGTCACCCTGGCCCGCAGATGCTGCACTCTGGCCAGCAGCCCTTCCTCCCGGGAACCTGGAAAGCACGCCTGCCCCGAACCAGGACCTGCTGCCGTCCCCGGTGTTGCTGCTGCTTGCACCTGTGTCCCTTACCCTTCCTGCTGGAAGTGGGGCTGCTGACCCCTAGGAGCCTCCACTGCAAACACAGCCTGAGTTCCAGGCCACCAGGACCAGGTCCTCCACTTCCAGTCCAGCGTATTCTCAGTCTTCCCCGGCGTCTTTCTGCTCCTCCCCAATAGTGAAAGCCAAAAATACACATATAAACCACAAGATTTTCATTTTATTGTTATCCTCATGTGTCCACAGACTTTTTATGTGGCCTTTGAGCCACAACTGCTTTCTCTGGAGGATTTCGTAGTAGTGGTTCCTGGGGCCGGGCAGTTACAGCAACTTCTATGTGTCATCACACCTGTGCTACTGTCCCGCTCTGTGTCCCCTCTGCAGAAGGTGAGCCCTGCTCTGAGCACGAGGCCAGATCCTCCTGAAGTCTGGAGAAAGCTGATCCCAAGGATCCCAGACTCAAGACACCAGCCTGAAGCAAGACCTGGTTACCAGGACTTGGGAGAAGACTGGATGCCGGGGGCTGAGAGCTTCGCCGATTCTGCCACGTTGGCTGGGGCCCAAGTCCCAAACTGGCCTGTTGGTCTAGTCCCATCACCACAGTTCTTACTTCACGGACTTTTCCTTTGATTTCTTCTGTTTCTTCTGTTCCTCATATTCAAGTATTTTCCGTTGGAAATAGCCTGGGGGTTCAGAGGCAGGCGTTAGACGCATCTAATCCAGCTGGGCGGACTGATGAGCTTAGGGGCAAGGATCGGAAATATCCTTTCTGCCTGCTCCCCATACACCCACGTTCTCGCTGGGAAATTCCTCTGGAGATCCACAGATTCCATTTGGCCCCAAAAAGGGCCTACAAAGAAAAAGTAGTAGCCCTGGCCGGTTTGGCTCAGTGGTTAGAGCATCTGCCCGCATGGACTGAAGGGTCCTGAGTTTGATTCCAGCCAAGGGCATGTACCTGGGTTGCAGGCTCCATCCCCCGCCCCGGTGGGAGCGCACGCAGGAAGCAACCAATTGATGTGTCTCTCTCACATCGATCTTTCTCTTTCTCCCCCTTCCACTCTCTTGGAAAAGCAATGAAAGAAAAATCCTCAGGTAAGGATTAAATAAATAAAAATCAAATTTTTATAAAAATTTTTAAAAGTAGAATTAGCTCCAGACTCAAAAGAGCAAAGGGCCTCCTACTGGCTGCGTAATAGAGCAACTTCTACAAAATGTCAGCCCGAGGGGCGTTTCTTTAGGCTTCACGTTACTGCTTTCCAACCCACTGATAAGATCACGGCTATTCTGCGGGCCTCTGGAGGGCAATGGTCTTTCCTGCCCTTTCCCAGGGCCGCACTTCGCTGGGGGCAGTAACCCCGGGAGCTTAGCCATAGGAGGCTCTCACGTACCTGCCGGCGGGGTCTTGCTCTTCTCAGCCTCCTGGATGAAGAGGGAGAAGAGCTGCGTCTTCACAAACTTCTTCACGAACCGGCGGTTGGCCTTGGAGGCCAGCGCCTTGTAGAAGGCCCGTTCTTGGAAGCGGCCTTGCCCGGTCGCCTCCCGCTTGATGTAGGAGGCGTAGTGACCCACAGTCTTGACAAAGAACTGCACGAAAGGGCCTGAAACATGCTCGTTGATTTGTTCTGGAGCTGCAGGGGACATAGAGACACCAGCTCAGGGGAGCAGAAGGGTGAAACTACCCCTTTTCCCCTTTAAGGGGCCGTCACGCTGGCTCCTAATTACTGATTGACTCATGAAAGTGGGAGGCCAGCTATGGGTCCTCTACCGTTGCTCAAGAAGACTAAAACCTCCGACTTGCCCTAGGATCTAGGCCTTGGGACTGGCCCAGGACTGCCAAACAGGTTCATTTTAGCTCTGGAAGGGGATGGTTGGGAATCACGCCCTCAGGGTCTCTGGAGAAACCCAAAATAAGAGGGGCCTAGGACTTACTCTGTAACTCATTGATTCCCTGACGAAGAGAGTCCAAGATGTCATCCTGAAGCTTGGGTGGTAGGATGTCTTTTTCGTCACCAACCTAGTAAAGACGACAGAGTCAGGGAGGAGGAGTGAGGTGGGGTGCTGGCAGAGAGGAGGACCTGTCTGTACCCTCACTCATCCCCAAATTCATAAATGGCCACATAGAGAAACAACAGAATCTGTTTCTTGGTCTTCAGCTTGACTCAACATTAGCAAGTCTCCTCTCCACCCCTGTGGAACTTGGTTTATATCTTCACTCTAAAGGCACTAACACTGATGGCCTTGTCATGAGGTCATCTGTGTTTTTGTCTGTCGTGGGCTCCTTAAGAGAGGAGAGGTTCTCGCTCAATAAAAATACTTAAGTTGAACTAAGTGGAGCATGGATGAGACTAGAGTGATGGAGCTGGTGGTGGGCATGCAGGGGATCTGCACCGAGATACTCACGGACATTAAGAAGGTTTTTTCACAAAGATCCACCAGCAGCACCTGAAATAAACACAGAATGGCTTTGTCTCTTCCCCTGTCGTCATAGACCTCAGGAGGACCTGCCACCTCCGTTTCTACCTTTCAGCCCAAGTAGCACCAAAACCAGCATCTTCAGTGCTCATTTCCTGCCTGACGTTGCTTTCTCTCCATTCCCTTTTGGAACTCTCAGTTCCCTTCCTGGGGGAGGCCTGAGGGTATAGGAAGGGGGGTGGGGGGAGAGCTGAGACAGGAGGGGAATGCACTAGTAGGAAACCACAGCCAGCCACTCCCTTAATTCAGCACGGAGTGGAGTAACTGCTTCCACCTATGGAACGCTGAGAGCAAGACGAGTGCTTTGCACACTTATCTCCTGTAACCCTCCCAGCGGTCCTGTGGAGGCAGGTACTCCCCTGACTCAAAGAAGTTGCCTGAGGTCACACTGCTAACAAACAGGAGAGCCAGAAGCTGCAGAGTTCCCTGGCCTCAGGACTGCTTTCCCTCTCCCTACACTCAGCTTCCACTCCCACCCTCATGTCAGCTTTAGGACCAGGGTGGACATCTTTTCACCCTTCCATTCTTGCAACAGTCTAGAAACCCCCTCAAGGCCAGAGGGGGACAGCCAGAGAAGGAAATGAGCACAGGGTCAAGAGAAGAGGGAAGGAAAGGCGGCGAGGAGACCACGGGTCTACAGGCTGCGGGAGGGACCAGCACGGGCTGGAAAGGGGGCCCTGTTCCGGTACCGGCTCCATCGCTTGCCCGAGGGGCCTTCTGTCTAGATTGGACATTACAAAGAGACACCCCACTGCTTGGATTCCAACCTGCAGATCTATTTCTTTGATCCTCAGAGCATTTTCAATGAACTGAATTCGTTTCCAATGTTTACATTGGAAAATTTCACATAAAATTTGGATTGGGGGCTTCTCCTCAAAAGTCAGGAAGTCTATGCCCTGGCCAGTGTGGCTCAGTTGACTGGGCACCATCCCGTGCACCGAAAGGTTGCTGGTTTGATTCTGGGTCAGGGCACATGCCAAGGTTGTGGACTCTCGATCCCCATTGGGGGGACGTGCAGGAGGCAGCCAATCGATGTTTCTCTCTCCCTTCCTCTCTCTCTAAAAAATCAATTAAAAATATTTTTTTAAAAAGTAAGGTAGTCTAACACTGGTCCTCATCTCTAAAGGACAACATTCAGAGGGACCTGAACGCGGCTGCCCCCTTTGGGCTCAGCACATGCTCAACAGTTTGTCACAATCCCCCAAAACCTGCTGGTCACTTAGATGCCACGTGGGCTCCTCTTTTCAGTTTGGGCCCTTGCTCTTGGCAATGGGATGATCCCTCTGTGCTCCCGTTTTCCATATAAAAGAGAAAAGAGGGACTGGAAAGTGTGCCAAGAGACAGAGCAGGCACTGTAATTATCTGTCATCAGGGAGAAAAGTTGAACTAGTCCAGACCTGAACCCACTGTTTACATCAGCTCAGGTACCTTCAATCAAGGAAGACTATTTGTTTGGGGTGTTGGGAGCTAAGAGTGTGGGTGAAGAATGTATCTGTGAAGTCGTTCCCAAAGATCTTTCTGGTATTTGGGTATATTACTGTCAACTAATCCCTTCCAGACAGCTTACGTGGGGAGTCAGGGAATCGCCCCACGCCCACCATAGCCCCTGCCCATTACACAGGGCAGCTGCTGAGGCAGAAAGAGGCCAGAGCTCTGGGATGGCAGGAGCCCAATCCTACTAGCCTTGGGATGTCTTCCTGCCTGGCTGTCCGCGGGAGGAGCCACAGCTTCTGAGAAGCTGGAGCTGCAGCGTCAGGAAGTTTCATAACGAACAGTATTGGGACATTTTAAGTCTCATTGCTAAACACAGGGCTGACACTCTGCCCCAGTTAGTCACAAGGCAAGGCTCGTTCAAAGGGCGTGTGTACTCAGCAATTCTGAAAAGGACTGGGAGGGCCAGGAAGCGAGAAAACATGTCTTTCCTTCCCATAACACTTCGTAGAAGGAGGGCTTGGAGTCTTCTCCCCGTGCTAAGTTCCATCATTGCCTGTGTGACCTGGGGAATGTCCTTTGGGTCCTCCGGACCTCAGTCATTCTTTACACAAATGAAGGCAGGCCTCTCACTGTGGCTGGTTCCAGGCCTCCTAAGTAGCTTACTTCTCGCCTCTCCCCTGGGTTGGCCCCCTATCTGCACAGAGTCAAGGTCAGCCAGTGCAGACACACACACACAGACCTAAGCAGCATTTCTTGCTGGAGCTGAGTGACATGCTAACCCTGAAACTTCCTCCTGACAGCTTCAAGCAGGACACACACTTTGAACTGTCCTTCCAACACTGGAGCCCCATCTATGCTACGAATGCCCGTTTGGGGGCATTGCCAAGAAATAAGGTGACAAAAATCAAAGGGCTATATCCTGGTTGCCAGGTGACTACTAGAGCTAACTCATGTCGCCCTACTGAAGACGGAGTCTTGCAAATGGAGATTTTGTAGCAAGAGTTGTCTTTCTGATTAGCTGAGAGCTCAGCTGCCCAATGACCCCTCAATAAGCTACATGCCTGCCCGCGCAGCCCAAAGGTGGGTCATTCAGGGGCAGAGAGCTGACGCTTACTGAGCACCAACTATGCGTCAGGCACCAGGCTGGGAGCCTTACGCGGGCGATTTCCCCTGGCATCCCTAGGAACGGAACACGGTCACCCCCACTTAACAGAAGCAGCAGCTCAGGCTTCACGAGATGAACAACTTGCCCCAAATCACACAGCCCTTGGGAGCAGAGCTGGGGTCTGCACCCAGGTCTGCCTGGCCCCGGACTACGGCTTCTTCTTCTTGCTGAGCAGTACCTCTTCCATGGGGCTGTCCAAAACCTCCTGCCGAAAGCGCATTTGGACTCCGACCATGAAGGGAGTGGGGCAGCAGACAGTGGCCAGGAGGCTCTCGGGCACAACAGGGATGTAGGTGTGCGCCCAGCTGAAGGGGTAAAGCAACGCAGCGGCGGCGTGGATGCACTGAGACAGGGTGCTGGGGACAGGGCACAGAGAACAGAGTCAGAGGGGCCGCCCCGCGCCCCGCCCCAGCCTCCCACAGGGCCCACCGCCCGCAGCAGGTGCAGAGGCGGGCCGGGAGCCACGCGGGTCCCAGGCGACCCCTCACCGCTGGGAGGGGAGGGGCAGAGGCTCCTCTCAAGGGCGGGGCCTCCGTTTGGTCATTTGCCAGTTGGTCTTCTCAGCTCACTACTGGGCAAAAATAAAAGTGGCTCTGAAGACAGGGGGGGAAGAAATGCCTGCATTCAAACCCATCACAGATTGAGCCCCTTCTATATACGCTCAGCACGGTGCCAAAGATGTGAGCATCGGGACGTGGGAGACACGGGCCCTGCTCTTGAGGAACTCGGGGTAGTTAAGGAGGCGACGTGTAAACACCGGGTGCAGCTGAGAGGCAAGACCACATTTCCTCCTTGTGTCTCTCCGCCCTTCCCGGTCTTTCCCTCTCAGGCTCCCTCTGGCCACTCGAGGCTAGAGCCTGAGTTAGTTAGTTTGGGAAATTCCTAGATTCCCAGAACCTCACCCAGCAATTCCTACCCGGAAAGTCCCCCAAGGTGGCCCCCTCCCTTTCCGAGGGAGCACTCCCTGAGCAATTATTGCTAAGTCACAGCTCAGGGCCAACTCCTCACCCACTACCCCCCCCCCCCAAAAAAAAA